TTATATTTGAAGTTCAATCTAGGGTTGTTCCTGTAAACAAGAAAAATGAGAAAAAAGACCTCGCTCACTTCTAAATACAAGAGAAACACAAATGAAGATTAAAAATTTGGACGGGGAAGAATGAATTGTCAAAAATGTGTGTGTGTGTGTGTGTGTGTGTGGTTGAAGGACACCATCTTCTCATCATATGCTCCTCTCATCTCTTCTTTTTGAAACGCTTCTTCCAAATTATGTGAAGCATAAGCAAAACGGCATGTCGTCTGAAGAACGAGCGAAAAAAGAGCATTCGTCCTTTTTGTGCACGAGAGTGGGCCCATCAGAAATTCGAAAGGATTTTCGGTAACATTTCTTTTTGCATTTCATAGTGGGGATTTGGCTGGCTTTAATTTTTCTTCATTTCTCTTGAACAAAATGAAATCGAATGAAATGGAAATGCCAACAAAAAAGTCAAGATCAAGCCGATATGACGAGTGGAAAAAAAAGATTTGGTCACCCCGGGATTGCCAGATGCAAAATGGAAGAAAACTGATTGAATGTGCTTACCTAACCAAAATGTGTGAAAATGAGTTTCCTGGTGGTTGGAAGAAAACGAAAATGGGCATACATAGACAAACAAAAGCATACATATCAGATTGCTTAGAGTTTTGGGTGACAAAAAAGTGTTTGACCCGCCTACCCAAGAGAAGAATGTTAGTTGTTTTTCATAAACTGTTTATATTGAGAAGAATAATAATAACTGCACATGACAATGTTCTGATTCGAAAGAATCTCGAAAGAAAAATGGAGCATCACATTTACGAGGGTCAGAAGATTTTCAGCTAGTCAGAAGGAATCGGTTCATTCTGTCTGAAATTTTGCTCTTATAATCTTGCCAGGCGTAAAATGACAAATCGATATGTAGCATTTCGCTAGATTTGGTTTAGACGGTTTCTACGTTAGTAGTGAAAAAAAAAATCAGAAAAATAGGAATTCTGAAATTTGTCACAAGGAATGAGACATGGAAAAACTGATGATTGTTACAAATAATGATCATTCAGATAAGCCCTGTTTTGAAATCACAGAATTTTACAAACAAATTTTATCTTATAAACCGCATTTTTAAAAATCCACAATTCCCTAGCTGTTTGCCTAACACATTGAATTATAGGAACACAAACTGAGAACCTTATGACCGTTGTCAAAATTTGTTGGGACCGGAAAGGTCCACAACAGTGTTGCACGGACAGTCCGTTGTCCGCTGTCCGCTGTCCGTTGTCCGGCCATTTTGGCTGTCCGTTGCCCGTGTCCGCTGTCCGTGGAAAAATGTTATGTCCGGTGTCCGGTGTCCGTTGTCCGTAAAGTTGTCTTCGTCCGTCCGTTTACCAGAAAAATTTGAATTCAAATTTTCCGTTAAAAAACAGTCAAAATGGTGGATGAGCTCCGATTTTCTTTTCCATGGCTTTTTTCCATCGGTAAATTCTATTTTTTCAGCAAAAAATTGTCGATTTTGGAAAATTTTGGTGTCCGTTGTCCGTTGTCCGGACATTTTTGGCTGTCCGTTGTCCGTGTCCGTTGTCCGTTAGAAAACTTTTTGTCCGTTGTCCGCTGTCCGTTGTCCGTATAAAAAAGTTTCCCTGTCCGTGCAACTCTGGTCTACAACTTTATGGTGGATCAATTCGGATCTTACAGATTTTTCTTCTGGGAAAGCGGCATGACAATTGGTCAAAGAGACACTCAAAATTCAATCATTATAAAAATGATGATAATATATTTTATTGGTTCAATAAATCAAAGCAGCAGAAAAAAACAAGAGCCGTGTTCGAGGGTCTAAGAACGAAGAATACCTTAACTTGAACATATATTGTTGTTATTCAATTTTTCCAGATTTTCGTAGGTTTTTGGTCAATGTTTTCAATCGGAGCAGATTTCATTATTAGTCTTATCTGTGAAAAAATAACATTAAATTGAAAATCTGTAATAATCGTGACAAAAATTTTGAAAATACCGTATTTTCTCAAATAGAGCTCAACTTTTCAAATCCAACCTCTAATAGAAGCCTACATCACGTTCTGTGTGTTCCATGACCGTTCTCTGTGAATAGTTTGAATTTTTTGACAAATTGGGTAACTTTTACAAAAATACCCGAAAATTAGGAAAAATTGGGAAAAATGATAATTTGGAAAGTCGATAAATTATGAAAAGTTTTTGAGATACTTTTAAAAATGTAGCAAAAAAGCACGAAACTGGAAATTATTTTCAGTTTAAAAGCGAAAATTCAACAAAAAATGACCAAGATTTCGAAATTTCCAGGGGGTCCTAAAAATATTGACAGACCAGAAATAGGTCTTTTTGGTGGTACTCTTATGACGAAAGTGGTAGAATCATGAAAATTTGTCCCCTAGGGTTTCTTTCTATCTTGAATCGAATGGGGTTTACAAAATTTTGATATCTCTTCCCGTTCTCCTGGAACCGCCAAAATCGAGGAGGGGGGGGGGGTCCCAAAGATATTGACCGCACTGTAGTACTGTAGCAGACCTTATAGGGTTTTGAAATTTTCTTTAGATTTCAATATTTTTTCATGTTTATTGAAGAAATCAACCTGGACCATTTGTTTGATTTTTATGAGGTTCACTGAATAAACGGTTGTCTACAGTTTCTACAAACTATGCCACTTGAGCAGAGAACATAGTATTCCAACTTGAACATTTGTACTCAAATCCCAACAAAATATGATCTTCACCCCTTTTCCCCAAGTCAAGAAATCCCCTCCCGGCCAGCTCCTCCATATGACTGACTGAAGCTTGGAGTGAAAATGTATTTGTATATTGACCCAATGTCAACAGGCACTAGAACCTGCTCCCGGTAGCGTGTCACTCACACGTTTCACACACTCTCACAATGAGCAAAAATTATGAAATTTGTGCTGGCTATGGTATTGGGAGGGAAGCTGCGAAGTGAGTAAAGAAGAAGGGTGAGCAACGCGCGCGGAAGGGAGCACGCGGAATGTGGCAAGTGCAGACATTGAAAAAAACGGACGATCCAAGGAATTTACGCGATTTTGTACCTCTGTGTGTATCTATGTGTCGATGTTTGTAAACTTTCGGCGGGGAGAGCTTGAAACAATAGAACTCTGGAACTTGGATTGGAAACTCGGAAACAGCTGGAGTGGGAAATCTTGGAAGAAAATTTTAAAAAGAGGCTTTTCAATTTTTTAAAACAGAAATTTGTAATGAATCCATTTATTACGTACACCTGTATTTCGACTTTTTCATATTTCTCAAAATTCATTTAACTTCAGATTTTGCTAAAGAGTTTATTCAGTTAGGCAAGAAACATAGTGTTTTCCCTAGCTGAATAACCACATATAGTATATACATTTCAAAAAACATTCAGACATCAACCCGTTTCTGAGACAAACTCCGCCTATCTTCGAAAGGACGATTGTTATGAGGATGGATATAACATATCCACTTTCCTCACCGTTCCTCCCTTTTTCATTTTTATTTTCCTTGTACACTCGCCGCACTTCTTTCTTATGTCGGTTTTTTGTTGCTCTTTCCCTTTTCCCGTATACAGTCCCCGACAGCTGACTAATCCAAACGTTCATTTTTTTTCATCACTTCGACTAGCGTTCCTCGTTTTTTTCTGTCATACTTTACCCCGTTCTTCTAGAACAAGTGGCTCGACAAGCGTGGCCTCTGTGTCGTTACAGTTGCCCCTTGCTTCACAAACATTGACAGGTATCTGGTCCCCTCTCTCCGAATCCTTTCCCACCCCCCCCCCATTGTCCCTCACGCAATATGCTGCTAATCGCTAGAAATTCAGTGGAGAGTCTACAGTAGCAAAACCTCCAGAGGCGCGCCGGCACTGTAAGGCGAAAAAAGCGTAAAACACAGTGCGCGGCGTGAAACGAGATAGTGTGGCTCCGTGGGCTGTCATAGACATTTCTAGGGGCGTTGGCAATCACCGGAAGCGGCGCGAGGCTTCTCTCATGGCGAGCCAGCTGCCGCGCGGAAAAACTGTATAATTGAGAAAAAGAGAGAAAAGAGTGAAAGAAGCCGAGTGAGTGAAACCCCAGTGAAAAGTAGGAAAGTCCCCATCCCCGCGCACCCGAAACTCCTTCATTTTCCGTCACTGACTCGTCTTTCCGCAACCAACGCCCTCCTCCCTCCTCTCTCTTCCTTCAACAATCACTTTTGCTCTGAATTTACTGCTTGAAATCACATAAGCCACCTAATGCATAGGGCCTATGACCCGGGACAAACGATACGCGAAAAAGGTCTAAACGCAGCGGCTAGACTTAATCCTGAACGATTTTTTCATGATTCCAATAAAAGGTTTGTAAGAGAAGAGTTTCAGTTTTGTTTCAATTCCATTGCTACTTTTTCCCTGTTTGTTTAAATTTAGTTATTTTTGATTCTACTTTTGAATACTCCGAAATCTTTCGAAAACTTACTCAGTTGATAACACTGTTATATCAATTACCGTATTTTCACTAATACAAGCTAATGCAACTTTGAACTCAATGATCTCGATTTCTGTAAAAGACACCAAAAAATGGTCAACTAGTAAAATGATATTATGATAAAAAATTCATTAGTTGATGAATTTTTGATATCTTGCACAAAAAGCGAGACAATTGACCTGAAAGTTGACGATATGGGTGGGATTCTATTCAAAAAACTACGGCACAATTCTATTAAAGGAAATACTGTAATAACCGTTATCATACGTTAATTGAATTTTGTCAGAATCAAAAAAAAAAGTTGAATACCGTTTCTAATTATTTTAACTCTATTAAATCAGCTTTCCAAAGACCTTTTGTACACGTTTTGAATATGAAAATCCTCAAGTTAATCGAGATTTTGAGTTGAGAGTTTCACAAGTTTTCCCGAAAATACCAGAACAATATTTAATTTTTTGCAAATCAAAAATTTTTAAAATTAACCAAAGCTCCCCTGAACTTCTACCCATTTCCCCTATATCTTCCTTTTTTCCTATATTTTTTATTTTCCAGGGAGATGGAGAATGGTGTTTCTCGATCCTCTCTCGTTCATGGTACCCAAACCAATCCGAACTCGGACACTTGGTACGACACCGACGCATTTTTGTTGGTAAGTAGTTTACAATTCATACCACCCAATTTCTTTTTATCGTGACCCCAATACCTCCACATTCCTCTCCGCAAAAACAATATCATTTTCTCAAGAGTTTTCTTATTTTTTTCCATCTTTCTCTCTTCTTTTCACTGTATTCTTTCAAGGCGAGAATCGCCCTCAAGATATCAAATTCATCTGTATTGAGTGTCAAACATCCCTTTTTCTGTGTCTCTCGTCACACTCTGTACTATTTCGACACTGTATATCTCAGAGCTCTTCTCGTAAGCTCTGCGCGAGATTTCAAATGATGGTCGAAGTTTTTGATCAAGTGGGTGAGCAGAAGCACCACATAGAAAATTGATAACTTGCGGGAATACTGAGTTTCGGATAGTTTTTGATAAAACAATTGAAATATTTTGGATGCATACGTTATTCTAAAATTTCGCCATTCATTATTTTTTATAAACCACCTAATTTCCCTTCTTGTCTTTCACAAAAAATAGTAAGGCTAGCCAAATATTTTCCTGATTCGTATGCTTGTTTGTTTGTCAACACAAACATATGAAGACGGAAAAAACAGAAAAAAAGGAACCGATGTCGGCAATGAGCAAAGGAAACCCGTGTGTCGGGGGCTAATTAATGAAAAATGAGAAGACAATAGATGCTGAGGGAGAGATAAAGCGCAAACGTCACTTTTTCGAACACCTGATCTATTGAACGTGGTGTACTAGTGCTTGTAATGAAATTCGATGTGAGGGACTTGATTTCCGGATAGTTTCATAATAGTTAACATATTGATGAATCATATTTTTCGGCACAAGCAGCCAATTTCCAGGAAAACGAAATTTGATGAAACAGAATGTCAATCGAAACTCTACATACCTCCGGTACTCTAATAGAATGCTTTCCAACCGGTCTATTTTAGACTATATATCTCATTTCCTATGGAAGATAATGAAAAATTGTCAACTGGTAAAATGTCAATTGTGATATTAATAATATTTTGTTAGTTGAACATTTTTTGATATCTTCCACAAGAACCGAGATAAATAAGCTAAAAGTTAAACAGTAGGATGATCATTCTTTTAGTTTTTCGTTATTTTTATATTCTTCTAGATTGATCCACAATTTACGTGTCACAGGCTGTGATACCCATTGTTAGAAAAAAATTCAACTAATAATCTTTAAAAAAATATTTAAAATAGCGGTCTGAAATCAATTCACGTTCTGCATATTTTGAAAAATGCACTAAAAAATTGGAGAATTATTTGTTCCTGTATTTCTTTTAATATTACAGAAATACAGTAACAAACGGCCCATGCTCTCAGGGAACCGAAAAATAAGGGGGCATCGTGCTCAAAGGGGGCATTCACAGATGGGGGTCATTTTGAAGTTGTCTCTCTGCACCAATATATGTGTATCAATTTTTCAAAAAAAAATTCTCAAAGATTGTCGGAAAACACCTCCCTTGTAAGAGACAATTTCAATATGACCCCTATCAGTTAATGACCCCTATTAGAGAATGCCTCCTTTGAGCACGATGCCCACCGCGAGCATGGGCCGTAACAAGCATTTTTGTCACTACATTTTTCAAATAGATCCCTTCACTTGATCTTTGAGCTCAATTATCTCAAGTCCTAGAACAATTATTGAAAATTTATAATCTAATAAAATGTTCCTCATTTTTTCACAAATTTTTTTAAAATCTTCATTTTTGATATCTCCTACAGAAATCGAGATAATTGAGCACAAAGTGCAAGTATCAGGGGGAGATTCTATTAGAGGAAATACGGTATAATCTTTTTTCAATAAACACGAACACAACGATCTTCATGAAACGTTCTCCGATCTTTGCTGCCGTTCCCATCATCTTAAATTTGCACATAGAATTAATCGTTCTTTGTTTCCCATCCGATTATCGGCTCATTTAACATGCCTTCTTTTTTTCTCTCCTCCGATGGGTTTTCTTTTCTCAATACCCATCTTGACCACACACGACGAATGCCATCACTCGTCTTGCGAGCATATTCAGTTTCTTATTTGCTCAATAGTTCTGAACCAGCTTTCACGCAAAAAAGAAATAGAGTGACAAGTGAGACAATGGGTAAAAAAGAGGCAAGCGTGGACCGAAAAAAAAACCGATTTTCTTACGGCACGCATCACGTGCCATGTGTGCAAACTAGCGGTCACGTTTTCATTAGAACTTTTGAATGAAATAGTATAGCAAAATACATATTATGCCTACAGTATAGTAGACATTGTAACATTTCTGTAAGATTTGATGCATGATCTCTTTCTTTAACGGATTTCATGTTTCTTTCTTTTCAATAGATATTGACACTTGTTTTTGCGCCACAGGGAAAAAAGTGCATTGTTTTTCTGATAGTTTGCACTATATGACACAACCCAGAACCCAATTTTTCGTTGACTAGGAATTTGGGAAAATAAAATCTTAAATAGCTTTCATAATTTGGAGTTCATTTAATCAGCGCCAAGAAAAACCACCGCCAGACCATCAAAACACAAAAAAAACCCCAAAACTTACTCACGATGGAATGTGAAGCATCTTGAGAACATCCACTTGAGAAATCCTTCCTCATCCTCCTCTTTCCGTTCACTTGCCCTTTTACGGATCAGAAATCTTTAGGACCAAGTGAAAGAAGTGTTGAACAAGCTGAGCGAAGGATCAATCGACGATGAAATATGGGGGAAAATTGTGATTATGGAACGATGCAAACGGGTTGCAAAGGCGTATTTGAGAAAAACTACTGTAATTATTGATGGATCAGAAGATGAATTTGATGGGAAGACACTTGGATTCAATCATTTTGATAATCCAACTCGTGATGATCATACTAAGGAGATTCGAGCGAAAATTGCAGATGTAAGTTATTGAAGTTTGGCTTAAAAACAAATTTTTTTATATTTGACATTTCAGGGAGTCTGAGTTTTGAATGTCAAGTTTCCGATCACTTTGAAATTTTTGGGAAGTGTAAAACAGACCTAGATTGAAAACATTCCATTTACATAATTTTTCAAAACTCTCCAGTTTTCAGATATTTGCTGATTTCTGAAAGACATCCCCGTTTGGCCTTTTTATCCTGAGAGCGTCTTTTAGAAATCCGCAAATAGCTGAAAAACTTGAAACTTTCGAAAAGTTCTGTGAACGCAAAGTTTTCAATGTAAGTCTGATTCACACTCCTCAAAATTTTCAAAGTGGTCGAAAACTTAAAGGAGGCCAGACACCAAAAAAAAAGTTTTCCTGATATTTTGCATAGAGAACCCCATTGAGGAGTTGAACTCATGACAGGCAGCTCAGGGGTACAGCGCCGCTACCGGCTGAGCTACGGGGGCGCGAAGGCGCCTGACGACCGATGGTCTACATAAGCGCGGCGCGATTTCGTCCCCCGAACTGTCCCCGAAATTTTTTCTGTCTCGCCTCCTTTAACATCCGAAACTCCTGAATATGGTCAAAATAGCCGGAAATCAACTGGAATATATATTTTTAAAAATTTTATTGACCGGAACTGTATTTACAATTTTCTTTTGCAGGGGGTCATTTTAAAAATGGACTACCAAGGAAACATCAAAGGAATGGCTCGTGGAGCTGCTCCGATTGTGTGCCAAGGTTGGAAGGAACCAAGAAACAATTGCATATCTGATCGAGTTGTTCGGTTACATGGAAAATTAAATCATGGAGTAACAGAAGATGAAAAAGCCTACAAAGTGTTTGATATGAGAAAATTCAAACATGCATTGGAGAGAGAACTTCATGATGGAACTCCGGATGCAAGGTCACTTTTGTTAAAAACCTGCATGAGAATTGCTCTGGTCAAGGTAGGCGTCATTTCAAAAAAAAACTTTTTTTATTAAATAAATTATAGGATGGCGCGGATATGAATCGAACACCATGTTGGTTCGCGATTGTCAACCTCGTGGCTCTCGATATGATCAAAGAGAAAATTCCAGCTATCAAGTCACTTTGTAAGTATTTTCTTTAAAGAGAAATAGTTCATTAATGTGCTGAAATGTTTTAGTAAACGGGAGTTCCCTTCCAATCATGACCTCTCCACCGCCAAGTGTTGGAAATGACCCATCTGGACTGGATGCTCAATATTTGACTCAAATTATAGCTGCAGCCGTTACACAAGCCAACAAAGGGTGAGAACCATAATTACAAAATAACTTTATGCAATAATCATACTTGCAACGGCCGGGCCGGGTCAAAACGACAATTTTCCCGGCCCGCCGGCCTGCCCTTTTTCGACAACAAAAAGTTCCAATGAAAAATTGGGAAATTTTTTTAATTAAAAAAGAAAAAAATTACATATTTTTTATAGTTATCAAAGTAGAAAGTAGTCAAAAAAAATAGAGTTTTCGATTAAATTGTTGAAAAAATTTTAAAATTTTCCAAAAAAAATTCTAAAAAATGAGCTTCTGTACAAACAGCGGGCCGACCGGGTCGAGCCGGCACTTCATCGGCCCGGCCCGTAATTTTGCAAGTATGGCAATAATTCGAAGAGTACAACAGTATGAGAGTCTTTGGGATACAAAGTAATTGAGAGTTACCAAGCTCTCATTTTGGGAGTTTCATATTCCAGAAAGAAAAATGATTTTTGTACACCCCGAATTGTGGACTTTGTACCCCTAAATCACTTCATAACCCCTGTACCCTCGAATCGTTGTACCCTCCGATTTGTGTGCCCAAATTTTATTGTTTATATTTTCAGAGCTCCCACACCAGTAAACAACAATAATAATCAAAATTTGACAATCTCACCGGAACAACTTGCTCAGATTGCTTCAACTATCAGTATTGCTCAAACTAACACTTTGAGAACTGCTGATTTAGCTAAAAAGGAGCGGCCGAAGTGAGTTCTCTGAATTTTTGAAACCCATAAATTACCGATCAATGAGATATTTTTAAAACATTTAGTTGATTTTTATCATTTTGGTCATTTTCAAAAATCTGGAGCTCGGCTGACAAGTTACCGATCTCTTTGAAATTTTGGAAGGTGTAAAACAGATTTGAATTAAAAATTTCGGATTGACAGAATTTTTAGAACATTTTTTGTTTCTCAGATATTTGCCAACTTCTTAAGAACACATATATTTTCACGGTTTCAGTACGTAAACAAGAAGAAAAGAGGTATTCTCAAAAAATTGCCAAATAGCTAGAAAACTAAGTGTCTTCAGAAAATTCTATGCAAAGTTTTAAATTTGAGTCTGTTTTACACACTCCGAAACATTCAAATTGATCTGAAGCTTCACATCCGGTCTCCAGACTCCTGATTGTGGCCAAAAATACGTAGCCAATTGACCCTGTAAATGAGACTACTCCAGAAAACCATATCACTGTTCAACATCTTCCTTGGATTCATCTGGAGAAGATTCGTCTGGTCGTCGTTCTGAAGCATCTATTGCAATAAAATCTCGTGCAAAGCGATGGGAACAAATGCAAAAGATCAATGAAAGAGAAAAGTACACCGAGAGTCCGGACTTAAAAATTTTGGATGTGAGTAGTAGCAAAATAAATTTCAACATTTCAACAAAAATTATTATAGAAACCAAGACCTGGTGGTCGAGCTCACCGGCCGTCTCTTCAAGATGTGATATTCACTAGGAGTCATTCAATCACAAGCGATTATGATAGCAATAAAGAACACTTTGATTCTGGAAGTTGGAGTTCTACACAATCCAGATATAAGGTGAAATAAATTAGTTGTATTTTTCATAATTTGAAATGTTCATTCCAGGGTGGACGCTCAACATCTTCATCGGTGGTTTCCGAACACGAACTAGCAGCGTTGGCTCGAGATGAGCTCAAGGAAACTAGTGAGATTAGAGAAGCGAATGCGGTCAGCGAAGGTAAATAATAATAGATCTTCAAGCCTTTTCGAAATCAACTGAGTTTTGAAATTTCGCACTATTTTTGTTTTTGTTTTGTTTTTGCAAGCACCCGCACATAGTCCTCAATTCAGACGATGAGCCACCAACTAACCCACCATCACCAGCTCCAGTAGTGAATGTGCCTACATTGCCACGCAAAGATTATAACTCATCACCCACAACCGAATACGCTACACGCAATGTCATTGCTACTCCTGCTGAGCAATTTGTTCCAACTCTAGAAGGAGCACCTGTTTGGAAACCTAGAACCGTTGCTATTGAGTCCGAGCATTCACCTCCACCAATTACTGCTACACCACCTCCGCTACCCAAAACACCGCAACCCAACAATGGTATGCGTTTCTTTTTGTTTTGTTTTAGCTTGCTAGAAACATTATGATTAGTTTCGGAACCCTCTAGGCACGAATATGTTCCAAAACATGAAACTCAAATGGTTCCCGTCTTACATGGGTGAGTTAAGTGACTGTGCCCCAACATACTAAAAAACATTCCGAACTGAAATGACAGGAAAAGTTTTGACGGCAAAGTGGAGACACTGGAAATCGTAAAAAAAACAATGTTTTATAAAGAATGATGTTTTTAACGCAAAATTATATCTTTTTTGAATTTCTCCCTTAGTTTTTGGTAGTGTTTCAGTTAATAATAAATATTAGTTACATCAAACATTATCAGTTTTTTAAAAACGCTCTAATCCTCTGCTTCAACCTCGATCACTCCTTATATTTCAGGTCTCTCCAACGCTTCGTTGCCATATAATCACAATAACAACGCGTAAGTCAATTAACATCTTATTTAAGTTCAGCTTCAAAAGCTTTAAGCTTTTTTCCAAATTCTATGTTTATATTTTATCATCGCTTCAGCTTCAATTCCAACCCCATGTTTTATGAGCGCCATCATGAAATGGTAATTATTCTAACTTTGTGTGGCCACTGGTTTTTTGATTTTTCTTGAGTTGCTTTTTGATTCTCACTCCAAACTGTTCCCCCCTCGCCAACGCTTTATTCCCATGTTTGAAGTGCCCGAAATCTGTTTTTTTTAATGTTTTCCTTTATCTGATTTTGAGTTCTTTTTTTGTTTGGGTTTCTTGCAGTTCTATTGAAGTGAATTGACACTTTCTTGATAAGCCGAATAGTTAAACTTGCAAAAGTTTGATTTGAGGATTATCAATTAACTGGGTTTTTTTCGCACGGGATGGTTTCTTTCAGAGGGAGCTTCACCCGCGCCGCAGCGAGGAGATGGAAGTTTACTTCGGCCGAACCCCGGTCCAGTCCGATCCTCCACGCAACCGATCAAACCCGTTCGTCAGCGAACTCCGTCAGGTAAGAACTAAGGGTTTGCCCTGTGTTTGATCTTTGATTAAAACGGCAGTAAACTTTGTTACTTCAAAATAAAGTTTGTTCTACATATTATATGTTCTACATATCATGTTATTTTTAATAAATTTTCACGAGGTTGGCGCTTGGCTGTCAAATGTCCGATCATTTCGAAAACTTCGCAGGATCCAAAAAAAACCAAAATCAAAAACTCTCCATTCACATAGTTTTTTGGAAATTCTTAGTTTTTTTTTCTATTTGCCAAAATTTGAGAAACATTTATTCGCATATTTACTGAAATCGTGAAAAAGCGTGTGTTTTTCAAAGATCGGCAAATAGTTGAGAAAAAGTAAGATATTTCAAAAAAAAATTATGTGAATACAAAGTATTCCATCACGGTATGTTTACACCTTCCAAAGTTTTTAAAAAGTGATCGTGAAAATTATCAAAAAGGTCGAAAATCAAATACGTTTTTTTATATCGCATTGACCGTTGCTGTATATAAAAAGTGGTTCTTCTAACAACCAGATACAAACTTCTCTTCCTGACTTTCCTGACCCATTATGTTTTCAGGTTCTCGAGCAACGAACGAGCAGTTCACGGATCGCGCGCAACCACTCTCAACCAGCCGCAGTTCATCCCAACTTGCGACAGTTCGGCGGCAACGCTCGCCAAATCCACCACTCTGCTTCCCAACAGTACAACAACGCCAACAGCAACTGCAGCAGCGGGCGCAACACTCCGGAAAGAGCCCATTCACAGTACGTCGGGTCTTCTTCGCACCAAGTGCCTCGCGGACTTCGGAGGACACAGCAGTACCAGCACCAACTCCAGCAGCAGCAACCACAACGAGACCAGCAGCAATCACAACCATTAGCACAACGCCTTCCACCGTTCAACTACGGCCAATCTACTCTGGTAAGATTTATTTGTAGTACAATTACAGTAGTGATAGCATGGGTCCTCTGTTTGAAAAAAGTAGACAAAATGATAACATTCCGGAGTAAAATTTTTAGGAAATAAAAACATTTTTTTTACCATACAGTAGCCAAGTAAGTATTATGTTTTTCAATTACCGTATTTCGTCAAAAGAAGTTCACCCAAACCGTGAACTTTGAGCTCAATTATCTCAATTCCTGTTGAAGATATGAGACATTTGTCAACTAATATTTTATTTATCATAATATCATCAATATTTTATCACTTGACTATTTGTTGATATCTTTCACAGAAATTAAGATAATTGAGCATAAAGTTGAAAAGTTGAGTGGGCATCGATTAGAGGAATTATAGAATCTCTCTTGCCTACATTTCATCATTAAAATATCAAAAAAAAAACTTTTTCTCCAATTTTCTAGTGTCGCGAACCAGCATCAGCAGTCCGAGTCAACCGCACGGGATCCCTGCCATGGGGACAATATCAACACGTGAGAAGAACCCACATGTGATAAGTCTACAATTAAATTAAAACCAACCCATCATCTCTTATCTTCACAAAAACACCACGCATAATATCTACTGAATTGTACCACTCTGAAAACCTATACAGTGAGTAGACGCACACCATTTTCTTGCACAATATAGTGTACGCTCGCACTAGGTTTGTTTTTGATTATCAAACCTTTATTTGTCCATTTATGAATTTTCAATTTTCAATCATCCGAAATTTGGTTGTTTGTAAATACTGAATCTTTGTCTTTTTATATTTTCTTACTCGTATTCTATTTTATTTTATTTAATGGTAACGTATTTAATGTATTCCTAAACAGTCCCTCCATTTATTTTGCTCAACTGTCCTTTTTAGCTTCCCTTTTCCCCAATTTTCTTACTACTGTATTTAACAACTTCTCTACATATTATCTTCATTTGCGTACAATTTTCATATGTGTACTTTCTCTTTCATGTTTTTCTCTTTATCATTTTGTGATCCGGTAGTAATTTTTTAGTCTAACTTCACTGTTCTTGGTACTATTAAAATAAAAACATGCTCACTTTTTTGAAAAATTGGGAAAACATACAATCGAAAAAAGAACTTTACAAGGAAACACACCCATTTCATTTGTTTTTTATCAGTATGGTTATCATGTGACTTCTCAGTCCTCGATGCAAAAACTGTCCTCGTCCTGATTCATGATACACTCGAGGAATCCTGCGCGAACTAGAATCCAGCCAGTACTACTTTTTTCGTGCTTAAAATACACTTTTTAATTAAAAAATTCAAGTAACTCACTCTTCTCATTGTGATATTTGACAAATGAATATCGTTTTCCAATACTGTTGCGAAGATTCCAGGATGATGGAATTTTGCCTTAAGAATCTTTATTTTTGCTGCCAAGAGAGCCTTCCTGACTTCTTCGCCATCTTCGAGCTCTGAAAATATCACAGATTTCCTTTTTTATTTTCCTATATTCTTACCAAACACTGAACTAGAAACCAAAGTCAGCAATTCATTGAAATCTGCGGTTTTCGCCACTTTTTGAATAGCTGATATTTGTTTTTCCACGATTTCATCAGCAAAAATCAAATGAGAATTTGCAGTTCTGCCAAAAAGCAGGAAAAAACAAAAAGGAAGGATGTTGAATCGAATAACCATTGCCCAAAAAATTGATAAAATGATAAAACGTTTTGTGCTGGTTTGCTGGTTTTATTATGAACTTTTGAAGAAAAACGCAGTTAAATTTTTTTTTCATGTGCGCGTAAAAAAGAGAAAAAAGTCTGAAAAATCTGCAATGAGAAAGTTTTAAGTTCTCGAAATTGCAATGTAGAAATAAAAAAAAAGGTTTTTATTATTAGGTTTTTATTATTGCAAAACAAAAGAGAACAAAGAAGATTACACCGTTTTTGTGTGGATTGGATATTGGGGGACATGTGAAAATGGATTGGCCTCAAGAATACCCACAAAACGTACCAGAAAAACAATTTAAAATTTACCGGAAAATGGGGAAAAATGGGTAAAGAAAATTGCACTTACAAGGGGACCTTTTAAGTTAAGGTAGAAGTCAGCAGAAACCACTCATCGATCAAATGAGCATGGTAAAAAACTTATAAATCCGTTTTCGAAGTCTGCTTACAAGACCTTTGAAGTGCTGAAATTTGAGTTTCAGTACCAAAAAACCCCATTTTCAGTGTTAAATTGGCAAGTTTCTAATTTGATTTTATCCACTCCTAGGAGGTTTTAAAACTTGAAACTTTTTGTATTATACCTAAAATTATGTGGAATTTTATTTTTCAGACGTTTTCTGAAAAAATGTATTTTTGGAAAAGTTTTGGGAAGTTTCAAAATTTGTCTAGATTTTCTATGAGACCAAGACCATGCTCTTTTCCGAGTATGAAAATTTTTTTTAGAAAATGTCTGAAAAATTAAATTCTATATAATTGTAGGTATAATAAAAAAAGTTTCAAGTCCTAAAACCTCCTAGGAGTAGAGAAAATCAAATTAGAAAATTGCCTATTTTACACTGAAAATGGAATTTTTTGGTACTGAAACTCAAATTTCAGCACTTCAAAGGTCTCGTAAGCAGACTTTGAAAACGGATTTCTGGGTTTTCTACAATGCTATTTCGATCTATGCAAGTGGTTCCTGCTGACTCCTACCTTCACTTAAAAGGTTCCTTTGTTAGAAAATTGAATACTGGGATGGAAGAGAAAAATAACAAAATCTTGATTTTATAAGGCTTGTATCAGATGGAGATGGATACTCCACATAACCGCTTCAGTCGAATGCGATTTTGTAGCGAGGACCCTGAAATTAAATACCGTCAATCTATCGTATTTCTTCTACTAGAAGGTCATCTATATTTGAAGCAGACCTCTAATAGAAGCACACCCTTTAATCTAAGCCCATGGGCCCATGGGCTTCTAATAGAGAAAATACTGTAATTCAATTTTTCAGAATTTTCGGAACTGTGATTTTAGAACTTTTCGATTTCCGCATTTTTTCAATTTCCAAATGTCAGAATTTTTTAGAATTTTAGAATTTTCACGGAATTGCAGAATTTTTGAATTTTTTGTGATTCTAGAGTCTCGGAATTTCATAAATTCAGAATTTCGGATTTTAGAATTGCAAAATGAAAATTTTATATATTCTAAAGCACTGCATTTCAGAATTCTTTTTAAACTTTCGAATTTTCAAATTTCTGATTTTTTCCTTGAATTTTTTTTGAAAATAAATCATAAAAAAATAGAAGCCCACCCTGAGAAAGAAGTTGAAAAATAAAAGACCATGGGCTTTTATTAGAGGAAATGCGGTATTTTGAATAATGATTGTTCTCACCTCATAAGTCTTCAGAAGGTCGCTGACGTCTGGTTGCAAATTGTTCTCAAACCATTCCATTCTCAGAGCTTCACTGGCACTTGGACGCTCCCCGTGGTCCACCTTCATGAGGCGAATGGCCATTTCAATGGCTTCTCTTCCCTGAAATACAAAGTATGAATAATCTGATCTCACTGCTCACAAAATGAACTTACGCGTAGGAGAGGATTACTCAAAGTGATGCGGAAGAGGTACGAGAAAGCGCCGTTTTGGATGAGACGAAGCTGGACATCTTCATTCTCGCCTTCGAAAACCTTGCGTCGAAGAATCAATTCACCGAGGGTGCATCCGACACTCCAAATATCGGTCTTCACAAGATTCTCAACCTTGCCAGCGAGAATTTCTGGAGCACGGTAGTGGAGTGCACCAAATTCCTTGATCTCCGGAGCTTTTCCTGAAAAATCTAATGGTTTGAAAAAACTCATGGTAATCAAAAAAGTTCAACACTTACCGTTTGCCGGAATCTTTGTAGCAATGCTTAAGTCAGCAATTTTGAAGATGCCATTATTGCTGAGCATGAGATGGCTTGGCTGGAGGTTCAAATGAACGAGCCCTTTTCCATTCATAGCGTCCACTCCTCTCAACATATGGGAGCACATTGTCTTGATGTGTTCCAATTTATACGTTCGTCCTCCATAAATCAGGGCTTCCAGATCCATATAGAGATACTCCAACACGAGGAATGGAGATCGGTTGAATGGAGTTGCAAATATCACTTTTCGAGTATATATTTCCTTAATAAAACTCACTGTTGGCGATGGAGGCGATCATTTTGATCACGTTCTCGTGTTCGATCTCCAATAAATTCTTACATTCGTTAAGTCCCCTGACCTTAATCTTTCTCAGCGCCTTGTCGGTGATCTCCTTCAAAGCGACGATACACTCCGACTTGTGAACTGCCAACTTCACATTCCTGCAAATACGATTGATGAGTGTTTTGGCATACGTTTTGTCCTTATTACTGTAGCTCAACTTTTTCTAGCTTTTCAATTATTTTTCTCATGTCAGTTTTTAGCCGAATTCGGTCAACTTTTAAGAGTGTAATAGTTGCGGAACATTTGCGTTGTAGTAATCAAATGCAATCACTTTAATTAGAAAGTTTTTTTACGTTTTTTTAAAGAAGCAGTCCGACTAAGATAAATTGAATTTTTCGGAAAAACACTGAGTGAGAACACCGTTTTTTTAAAGTGTTAGGTCAGTTTGTCTGAGATCTCATTCGGATTGAGTGTAAACTTCAAATGTTTTAAATAGTTCGGTCATAAAACTGGAAGAACAAACTTTAAAAAAATACGGGTCCTTTGAAAAAAGGTCTGGGTGAGAAAACCTCGCTTTCGAGTTGTCAATTAACACTGAATTTTATTCAAAATCGCCTCTCGAATTATGTCGAAAAATAAAATTTTGATTTTCAGTCATGAATCAAACACGACGATGTCTATTTAAAAATTGGTGTTTTTATGCTGTTTGGGAAATAAATATCGAAACTTTTTTTTCAAACATTGTAGTTTACCGTGCACACTCTAAGAGAATGCGACCACCTATTTGCACTTTGACCACAATTATTAGGTTGTCCAAAAAGTCTTTGACACTTTTCTTCGAGAGGCGTTTTCTTCAAGAAAAATAAGAATCAATAAGAATTTTATTCACTGTTGGAGTTTATAACTTTTTGCCAGCGCAACAGAAGTTGGGTGATTTCAATTAGAAATCTGGCGACTTAGAAACTTTTCGTTGTCATGCAATAGTTTGAACAGCAAGCCTTTCTGGAGGTGAGGGCGATGTGTATAAATATCACTTTATATTTGAAAGCCGTAGAGCCAGAGTTGATGATACTGGATCCTGGAGGTAGCTTGCGGGACATTATTCCAGCACTGTCTAACCAAATTCAAAAAATCTTATTTTTCCAAAGCTTCCAGTTTGAGCTCGATTTCGCCTTTTCTTGTGCAGAGACCCATTGGCTCTTTCTGACATAGTTGAGATACAGTTCCCGTTCATTATCTCAAATAGAAGTTTTGTTGATCCAGTGCCTCGTCGGTCCCCTGGTGAGAAGTGAAAGTGACAGGTCACATCGTACCTTTTTTTGATAATTGGCCAAAAAGTGTGGAACGATTCGACCACCCCTCTGAGCTTTTCCCGTTTGGTGAACATTATTTTTTACGGTGGTATTATGGCGCGTCAAAAGTTCCCAAATCTGGGATTTCTGGGCCCAGAAAACAGTCCAAAGTGACGCCCAGATTCCCAAGATTTCCAATTGAGCAAAATTTGAACCAGTGCGACAATGTAATTTTTTATTGAATCAAAATATGCAGAAAAGCATGTAGATTCACATAAAAATAAATAAATTTTCAAAAAAAAGTTCCTTCATCGAGAAAAAGCCAGGGCTCTCATCCGAAAAAAAAATAATAATTTTCCGATGCGTTTTTCTCAACGAAGGAACTTTTTTTTGA